GTATGTTTCTTCAATGTATGCTTCAGACACGGGTCACGACGAGGCGTTCCCCCATAGCGACCCCTAGAGGACGTAGTGTCTCGTTCCCTACTCAGGGAACCATGGTTACATAAGTAACCTGAGACGATTTTTCATTTCTCTGGGAAGATTTCTTTCACAGCTTTGTTTTTACTCGACCTCCCCAATATCAAACCTCGTCAAGATAGCGAAGAAAAGATCGACAAAGTAATAAGATCATCTCTCATATCCTTATTAAGGCTGGCTCCTGGGACAGCACGTGTGTGTTCTTGTTAAGAGCGAGTGCGTATGGAGCGTGTGCTGGGAGGCCTGGATGAGAAATCACCTCAGCGCCCCTCTGTAGCGCTCTCACTCCCTTCCCGTGCCTGTTAGCCCGGGAGTGAGCCCCAGTGTCTCCTCGCAGCACACGTGTAATCAATAACAGCCCCAGCTCACACACACAAAGCGCTTCCACCTCAGCACGTCGTGTTAGACACACAAACTTATACATCATCCCGCATTCAGCGCTCCCCTGAACATCTGAGGCGTTCAGATTACGTGGAGGAAGAGCAGGCACAGCTTTGGGTAATGTCATTCATAGCCTTTCACTGCAGTATGAGGGTTTGGAGAGAGGAGAGGCTGATGCCGTCGAGAGCCATTGGCTTCCCAGGCTTCTATTAAAGAGCTGTCAAGTACAAGCGCTCGTGTGACAGAAACTGGCGCACCTTTCTCTCCATCATCACCTGCTTCACTGACCCGCGCCGCTCTTCGTCTTGCATCTCCTTTGTTTATTTTTGGCCTGTTCTCTATCCGGCTACATACAAACGAGATCTCAGTTGTTTCTCCAAGAGAGCAAATGGAGAATTTTTAGAAAACAAAAATGGTAATCTAACAGATGAGACCTCAACAGTGTCTCACACTCTACTTAGATTTGCCATGCTTTTGTCATTTTAATTTTAATTTAATTTTTTATATATTTCTATTTGACTCTTTCCAGTTTTATTTGTAGTAATTTTAGTACTTAAACTTACATTTGTTTATTTCAGTTAGTTTCCAAGGCAACTTTTTAAATTTTCGTTTAAGTTTGCTACGTTTTCTTTATTTTTAATTTGGAGTTTTTTATGAATTAATTTCTTTTTTTTTCTTTCTTTTTTTTTCTCAATTACTCAAGTAATCTCAATTACTTAAAAAATTGTAATTTAAATGTTTTTAATCATTTTAGTTTTAGACGTCATTTAGCTTTAATGTCATAATTTACTCATCCTCGTGTCGTTCTAAATCTGTAAGAGTTTAATTCTTCTGTTTGTGTAGAATGTCTGTAACCAAACAATTGATGGTAGCCATTGATTTCCATAGTATGGAGAGAAAAAAAATACTATGGAAGTCAATGGTTACCAGCAACTGCTTAGTTACCAACATTCTTCAAAGTATCTTCTTTTGTGTTCAGCGGGAAAAAGAAACTCATACATGTTTGGAATGACTTGAAGGTGAGTAAACAATGACACATTTTTTTTTTTTTTTTTAGGTGAACTATCCCTATAACAACACTGAGAAATGCTTCAGTTTCAGGAGAAACATATAAAATAAGAGAATATAAAAAGTGCGTCTCTCCTAAGCTGTGAAAAAGCCACCTCTGAGCTATAATATGTCCTCAGACATATTCTTGAGACATAGATGTGTGTTTTTCACATCTGGGACTTTACAGCGGTAGCAGTGTGTCAGATTAGATTTCCTGTAACAAACACTATTAAGAGCACCTGCATTTTTTTCATCAGCCTCATTTTGTGCAGTCCCTAATGGAGAGCCTCGGAGGAGAAACAGGTTAATGTAAACCTGCATTCCCATGCATCACAGCTACTCTCCAAGCCGTCTTCTGCTCACACTCTGCATAAGAAACCTCTCAGGAGAAACAACAGGCATGTAGGTGCGCTGTGGGAATGTCATGTAGACTGTGAGATAGGTAATAAACATCACTGATATGTTGGAAGCGGTTGCATCCGACCCCAAAACAAACCTTTATTAAACCGTAAGATCTTTTGCTGTATTCCCAGAGAAGAAGATCCTGACCTCGCTGCTTCTATTATAATAAAGCCCCTTCGGTTTTCTTGCCGTGAAGCAGAATTCAGTTGATTCTAGGAGGATGGTGCTGACTTGAAGCTTTGGTTCACCAACTGTATTAGGTATTGAACCTGCAACAAGAGGAGAGTGGAATACAGATGCATGTGTATTCCACAGTAATTAACCATCTCATCATGATTTTCCCTCTTCATTATGGGTAATGGAATGGGATTCTCATGAATAGGGATGGATGAGCTGACGAGTACACTTTAATAGCAGAGATATTTTTTTCTCCATTTTTTGAGAGATGTATTTGCATAATTAATGCAACCGCCGCTGAATGTGACATTAAAGGAGACTTTAAAAGTATTTTTAAACATACTTTATCACATAGCTCTGACTTAAGCCTCCCAAATTGTCATTTCCCAGAGAAAAAAATATTGCTCATATTGCTCATAGCTCAAAAGACTTGATTATGTTTCAGGCAAACATAAACGTTGTTTCTGATGTTTCTCCTATATATATATTTATCAAAAAAATCCTGAAAATAATCAAATGTAGCAACTGTTTTTAATAATAATAATGTTTCTTGAGCAGCAAAACAGCATATTATTTCTGAAGGATCATGTGACACTGAAGACTGGAGTAATGATGCTGAAAATTCAGATTTACATTACAGAAATAAATTAAATTTTAAAATATATTAAAATAGAAAACAGTTATTTTAAATTGTGATCATATTTAACAATAGCACTGTTTTGTACTGAAATTTTAAATAAATGTATGCAGCCTTGGTGAGCATAAGAGACTTAACTAAAACAAACAAAACCAAATAAAATAAAGTAAAAAAAAAATATTTTAACTTTAGGTTGATATAATTTCCTGTTTTTCCTTTCTTAGTATTTATTTTTTAATGGCTTTTTCTTTATTATGATAGACAATAATACCATTTAATTGGGTTTATTTGGTCTTGGAATTTGATGAGAAATGTTCGAGCTCATATTGAGACTTCAGACTTTGATATGTTGACAGTTGAAGACATTCTTGAAGTCTCTTCTGACACTCTCTAGGTGACACTTGTGAGATTACTGAGAAGCAGTCTACTTTTGCTCTCCATTTAATCCCGTTGTCATTTTGAAACAATATTTCTTTCCTATGAGGTCATAACATCCACTCACATGTGCGTGTGGCCGGCCGTACCCACGTCTCAGCACTGTTGGTACAGCTATTAGTTTGTTTAAGTCCGTGCAGATGATTAAATGACTTTCCATTGTGTCCGCCGATGCATATGGTCATGTGAAATGATTCGCTCCATTAAAAGTGGCAGCATAGTAATGGGGTAATGAATGGCCCTGTTGGCTAGAGACTCCCAGCATCCTAATTTGTCTCCCCTCCTGTTGTTGTCTCCACAGCCTGCCGGCCCGGCTTCTATAAGGCCTCTTCTGGGAACGTCAAGTGCTCCAAGTGTCCACCGCACAGCTACACGCACCAGGAGGAAGCCGTGCACTGTGACTGCGAGAGAAACTACTTCCGTGCGGAAGAGGACCCCGTCTCAATGGCCTGCTCTCGTACGTGCTGCTAACCTACATAAGTACATTTTCTCCAGATTCTATAGGTTTGACGTTACCTTTAAGCCTCCTAATTGTCTCAATTTGACCCACACTTGATTTTTTTAACTGCTTGAAACACTAGTTGAAATATTGATTTCTTCTTGTAATTTTGTGACTTTTCCTCATTTCGGGTCATTGCAAAGTTTCGACACATAGATGTGTTTTGGAAAGGCTGAACGAATAGAATCAGGACAAATAAACTTTATTTGTAGCTTGTCAAAGGCTAAAATATAAAATACATGCTATTGATGGCATTACATGATACTAAAATATGAAACATATGAAATTGAGAACTTGTCTTCTGAATCATCCAAAGACATTTTTTAATATATTTGAGTTATTTAATCTATTTAATATTCTTATTTTATTTCCGCTGATTGCCAACACATCATTTCTCAATTTCGTTTTGTTTAACATGATGTACTAAATAACTAAAAATACAATAATAATAATAATAATAATAATAATAAAAACTACAAAGACAATAACAAGAAAATAAAAAAACATAAAAACAAATTCAAAATAGTAAACAAAAATATAACAGTACCTCAATTATACTAAAATAACAGTGCAAGCTGCAATAGGGGTTTTCTTTTGTTACATGAATCTTTGTTTTTCTTTTTTTTCCTTCATTTTTGGCAAACTGCATGGAAACCAATTTGGGTCAGATTGACCCACAACACAAAGGTGTACACAGATGTTCAAGACAACAGTGCAGGGCAGCAGAATCTCCACAAGCATTTAGAAGTGATGTTGTTGTACGGATAACTATTTATGTTATTTGAAACGCGGCGTTCCTGTTCGCCGCGCAGCCCTCAAAAGCACCGGAGCTTTTTGAAGGATGGTGTTTGTTCAAGGATTGATGAATTTGTGTTGGCTCGTTCTGACAAAGCTTCCAATACCCCCTCAGCGGCCTTCGAGCTATCCCACCGAGAATAGCCCGTGTTTGCTTATTTTTAACCGTTTCAACCGACAGGCCTCCTCGGGTTTGCAAGCGAACCCATTCTCTTTTATGGAGAAGTACGCAGATGGTAGACAGATGCATGCAGCGACTGCCAAGCATTCCAAAACACATTATCCATAAATCACCGCATTGCTATCAGTGCTGATTCATATCACATAAAACCACCAAGAGCCTTATTGAATTCCGCAGCCAAGTTTAATAGGGTGTATCTTACATGACATCCTGAGTAGTAGGTAGCACGTCAGATCACGCCATGCACGCTCATGCGAGTCGCTTTTTATTTTGGCTGTCGGATGCAATACTGAGTCTTCATTTCCACTTAAGCATTCATTGCCAATGTTAGTTTAAGACTTTGATGGCTACAGTGAGCGGAAAAATGCTTGAACGGAGTGTACGACTTTAATTTCTCCACTTCATACTGTCATAGCCCTCGAGTTTAAACATTTATCTTGATAGAATCTGCTCGGATGCAGGCAGTGGAACAGATACGCTTTAAGTGCAGCTCTGAGAGCGGAACTGCAATTAAAGGAAGACGACGCACGATATTATCAGCAATAATTGTGGAAGGTCATTCAGAGTTCTTCAGAGATGTTTTTTGCATGTGAATATAATTCAGGTCATGGCTGCATTATACAGGCAGTTGTTCCGTGAATTGTTGCTTTGTAACATTTACAGTTTATGTTGCATTCTATGTCGTGTCAGCGAAGGTCGGCATTTAATCACCGGTGAATGTTTTAAAGGCATACATATTTATGCCTGTGTTTAGTACATATAAATGGACTTGTTTATTTCTGCCTGTCTCTTTTTTTATGACCTCATAAAGGCGATATTCTGAAGTGTAAATCCTTGACGTGAGGAAAATGTCAATGGCAGGCATGTTATATAATTGTGCCACTTATCAATACCCGATGTAAACATCTCCCATATGTCAAAGAGAGAATTTCTTGTTTTGGTGGTTATTGGTCAGGTCTGTGGTAATAATGAAAGCTGTAGTCACACTTTTGGAGGCTGCTTGTCAGACTGAAGTGTCCGTGTAGTGCATGGCTTACCCTGGCACACCTCACATCCTCCCGCTAACAGGCCAGCCAGTCTGTTAACATTACCTGCTCACTGTGATGTCTATTATACGTCAGGATCAAAGGATGCCTTGCTCTGGCAAAGATGTTACCTAGTGACATATAACGACTTTTTCCTCCATGCTATAAAAAAGAGACTTTGGTTTATGCTGTTGCCACTGCAGACTGAGGCACATTAATGCATTTTTTTTTTTTTATCTGTGCTGACACAGACAACCTCCTTTTTATGATACTCATTTTTTATATGAAGGAAAGATCAAGGATGTGTTGTAAAATAGTAGGAAAGATTGTTCAGCCAAATATAAATGTAATTTCAAGCTTGTATTTTATTTCAACCATGAAATACAAAATGAGATGTTAATAAAAAAAATCCACTTCAGTTTTATTTATTTGTTTGTTTAGCAATTTTTTTTATTATTTTAGCTTAGTTTTAATTTTAGTTTAAGTATTGTTATTATTATTATTATTATTATTATTTATGACTGCGTTCATGTGACCCTGGACCACAAAACCAGTCATAAGTAGCACGGATATATTTGTAGCAATAGCCAAAAATATATTGTATGGGTCAAAATGATCGATTTTTCTTTTATGCCAAAAATCATTAGGGTATAAGATATTTTGTAAATTTCCTACCGTAAATATATCAAAACTTCATTTTTGATAAGTAATATGCATTGCTAAGAACTTCATTTGGACAACTTTAAAGACAATTTTCTCAATATTTAGATTTTTTTGCACCCTCAGATTCCAGATTTTCAAATAATTGTATCTCAGCCAAATATTGTCCTATCCTAACAAACCATACATCAATGGAAAGCTTATTTATTCTAGCTTTCAGATGATGTATAAATCTCACACTTGAGACTGGTTTTGTGGTCCAGGGTCACATATATGTGTGTGCGTGCGTGCGTGCGTGTGTGTGCGCGCGCACGTTTTTGCGACATATGAGGACACAAATTTGTATAATGACATGGGTATGACATAGGTATTACAAGGAGAAGGTGACTTATGAGGACATTACCCCATGTCCCCATTTTTCAAAACGCTTATAAATCATACAGAGTGAGTTTTTTTGAGAAAGTAAAAATGTCCTAGCTTTGTATAAAAAACAGTTGCATGCTATATTCTATGCCTTCTGAAGTCATACGATAGTTACATGTGAGCACCAGACTGATGTTGAAGACCTTCAGTGAAAGTCTTTCAGTCTACCCCTCCGCAAGAGCTGGTGAATGTGATTATAAAATTACATTTTGAGTGAATTATTCCTCAAGGAAAGTTGTTCTTCTTTCTCAGAATCAGAATCAGAATCAGAAGAGCTTTATTACCAAGTATGTTTACACACACAAGGAATTTGACTTGACGACAGGAGCTTCCAGTGTAGAAGAAAGTACAAACATAGTGCAGACATACATGATAGTGCAGACATATTGTGGAGGAGATTCCTTTGTGTAATGTTCTATTTCTTAATGTAGTATCAAATCTCTCCCCCATTTTCCTTCTCAGACAAAATGTCTGTCAAAATGGTTCTCAGGTTCAAGAGGCAGGAAACCCTCTCTAAACTCTGGGCCTTCAGTGTGTGAATTCATGTCAGATCAAACGAACCCAACATTGCACTCCTGATTTCTTCACTCACCACCATCGTTAAGGCAGGAATTTCGTTTTTATGTAATAATACCCAGAGGTCAGATATTAAATTCACAAAGTATTCCAAAATTATTTACAGTCTGGCTTTGAACTGGTGTCCATCTCTTTACTTTAATCTGAGATTTCACTCTTGTTCAAATATACGCAGAAGTCTGTCACTTATTCAAATAACAGCTTGCTGTGCAGGCCTGCTATTCCAATCAATAGAGGCCGCTGACCACACTTCATACCCCGTTTTTTATCGGGACAATCTTTTAAAGTTAATATAACAATCCAGTGAGGACACTTCTGAACTCTGGAGTAATTCTAGAGGCTTTGCCAGCATTTTAACAAGGGGAAGGACATGCCTGCCTAAATTCCGTATCCATCCATAACTGATGACTTTAACGATTAAACCCACACTTTTTAAAGTAAACGTACATCCCCAGAGGGACATTTTATTGCTTTTTCATAGCTCATAAGATTTAATGGAGTTCTCAGTTGTGTTTCATTTAAGTATAAACTTTGTCCCAGATGTTTCTCCTGTCATCCCTTAGGAAAAATCGGAAAAAAAGACACAAATGTGTGTGAATTTGGAGAATTAATACATGTAAATTAATAAACCAATAAATAAAAATAATTTGATTTTGGCAGAATTTAATGAGTTCATATTGAGACCATTGAATTTTGATTTGAGAAGCAAATCAAATCCAAAGGTATTTGTTTCCTCTCCATTTAATCTCATTGCTGTCTGCATGCTGTCTCTTAGAAAAAAAAGGTTCCAAAATGAGTTTTCGCAGAAGAACCATCTTGGATTCCCCAAAGAACCTTTCAGTGAACAGTTCTTAACTATTTTTCATCATGTGAACAATATTTTAATAATCTAAAGAACTGAGGTCCACTATAAAGAACCTTTTGTGGTTTTGTGGATGTTAAAGTTTTTTCATGGAACTATCAGTTCCAATAAATAACTTTTATTTTAAAGAGTGTAGAAGAAACGGTTGAGATGGGTTTCCTGGGTCAATATTGGTTCACAGTGTCAGTGTTGAATATGCATTTTAATACAGCTCAAATGGATTTTCTTCGTGTTGTACTATATTTTTATATATTATATATATTTTAAAATTATGAGTAAATATTATATCACATATCTTCTTTCCTCAGGACCTCCATCTGCCCCACGCAATGTGATCTCTGCCATTAATGAGACGTCAGTGATTCTAGACTGGAACTGGCCGACTGACAGCGGAGGCAGGAAGGACGTGATATTTAACGTGGTCTGTAAGCGATGTTGGCCGGGTCCCAGGCAGTGTGAACCCTGCCTAGGGGCCGTGCGCTTCCTGCCCCGTGCCACCGGCCTCACTAACACGACAGTAACCGTAGTGGACCTCCTGGCACACACAAACTACACCTTTGAGATTGAGGCCCAAAACAGAGTCTCCTCCCAGGCCCCCACGATCCGCCAGTACGCTGCGGTCACCATCACTACCAACCAAGCAGGTGAGTCTCTCATCCCAGAATGTCCTACTATTAAAGGAATAGTTCACCACCCCTTCCAAAAATGAAGGAAAAAAATGGTATAATTTCCTCACACTCATGTTAATCTGAAACCCCTAGGTTCTCTCAGCCATAAAACAGAAAAAGGTGAATTTTTGAAGAATATCCTGACTCTTTTCCATAAAACAAACTTGGACTGGAACTGTCCAGCTCCAAAAATTCACGAAAATCATCCTAAATGCATTATAAATGAGGGCCATATGATTCAAGTGCTATACTCCAAGTCTTCTGAAAAAATCAGAACCAATGGTGTTTCATGTCAAATGGCTTCAAAGTGTCATTTCCTCAATACCTTTGTCATCATATACTGTATATCACTAAAGCTAGCATAGCGTTAGTTCTGGTAGGTCACATTAGTCAAGCTCGCATCAGCTGATCCCCATCAACCTATGGGAATACGACACCTATCTAAGCATTCATATATAAGGTCCCTCGGTATTATCAGCAGTTTTCGCATTGCTCAATAGCTAATTACCCTCCTCCATCCCCAACTCCTCCTCTGTCAGTCAGGATTCAGCCTTCTGATTCTCCTTTGAATCAGACTAATTCTAAAATGTGTACATAACATTATTGAACTTTAACGATATCTGCAATACATTCACGCTGCTCTCCCTGCTCTTATCCATGCTAGGCTGCATGGATGCAAATGAAGTTCTTGCCCAGAACAGAACCATACCGCCAATCCAAACTGTATACTAATTGTCAATCATCTTTGACGATAGTGGTCCTGACAGAACTAGGCTAATAGGAAAAATGTTCCTTTACCTACATTTTTGCAAAACTAAAAAAAAAAAAAAAATGTACTCCAAAAAAATGGCAGTAAAACGTCAACAAGTTCTTACACAAATTATGATTGCATCACATAACCTGCTCCATATGTGTGGCTTTTCGAATGTAGCAAACTTGCTCGGTAGCACACCTGGTACAGCATTGCACTTGCTATACGGAGTGCTCAGGTATGAGTCACGTGAAACAGGAGCCATGAAAAAAACTGTTCAAAGACTTGTAGAAGCAAGCTAAAATGGCATGGTTGCTTCAGCAAATGCATTTTGTATGTTACTTTTGCTTGTGTTAACACTTTTGGTTAAGTTTCAGTGTAGAGTTTAGTGTAGGTACTATGTTATTTTCAAACGTGATAGATTATTAACTTTTTAGCGGCACTCACCGGACATTTAATTTCCATTTAACATTTACTGTAACTGCTGCAATACATACAAACAGTGTATTAAAATGTTGCCAGATTCATGTTCATCTGTTTCAACTGAACACACTTTGAAAGTGATGAAAAATGAACAAAAAGCAGCATAATATCATTTTACATGAATGTTGCCACGGGATAATTTTTCCGATGAGCCTGGGTTGTATATAACACATACTAGAATATAGCATTCATATCTTTCACATGTGTGATCGTTTTATTGTGCTCTTTTTATAATTTTGTGATTTGACAGCCCTGATCAGCCAGGATTTGCCTCAAAATTCACCTTTTGTGTTCCATGAAAGAAAGAACATCATAGAGGCTCAGAATAATGTGTGAACTATCCATTTAATTCTACAGGGTCTTCTAATGGGACATTAACACAATATTCCCAAAAATTACACTTCATTCAAAGCCGCATGTATTAAAAGAAAAATGTCTTCAAAGATTTCCATTGATTGAGCGAAATGTTTTAATGGTCCCCTGAGATCGGTTGAGACGTATTCACAAAGACAATTCAATTTCCTCTCAGCGATGTGCAACAAAGCTCAACATTCCATTTGGAAGGAAGAAAAGAACCGTTTAATGCCTCCGCAAGCCTATTGCTCATCCCGCGCTTTCACAGCTGCCTGTGAACATATCATTCTGCAGGTGCTGGCCTCTAGTATGGCTGACTGAAGGTCACGACTCCTCAGGTTACTAAAGCAGAGGGATGCTGAACGGCAGGCCATCTGCCTCTCATTCCATGTGGGCTTCCTTTGTGAAGACTCGTGTCTCTGTTCTCTAGCCCTGTGGGGCTCAGGCCTCTGTCAGTTCAGTGCTGGCTGTGAAGTGATAGGTGCAGGTCCTGTCGGATGATTTAGAGTATAGGCTTTGGTCCACAGATTACAGGTTCTGGTGTCATGAAATAGTAGGCAAAGACTACTTGGACTACTAGAAGTTCAAAGGCTAGGGATTGATAGTTTTGCACCCTTTTACCACAGGGAGCAGTTGACTTTGCCTGAGACCTCATAAAATCCTTACTGTCATTGTCAGAGGACTGCATTTTCACTCAGCAGATCGTTCGTCTTCTGTTGTAGAACAAATGCTGATTTATCTGTGAAGAAAGGCATCTTCTTTCAGAGTAATACAGTGCTACAGGCATAAATGTACTGACCATTGAGTCAGTATTTTTTATAAAATACTAGTCCAGACATTCATTAAATTAAATGTTAAACATTAAAGAAAATGAGAAATGACTAACTGAATTAAAAAAATAATAATGATTTTATTCAGCAATAGCACTTAAATTGATCAAAAGAGACATTTAAAAAGTCAGAAAATATTTTCGTTTCAAATCAATTCTGTAAAATAATACTGAAAACGTTTCTACAGTTTCCACAAAAATATAAAGCAGCACAACTATTTGTAACATTGATAATAATAATAAGAAGAAGAAGAAGAAGAAGTTTGTTGAGCATCAAATCAGCATATTAGAATGATTTCTGAAGGATCATGTGACTGAAGACTGGAGTAATGATGCTGAGAATTCAGCTTTGCATCACAGGAATAAATCACATTTTAAAACATTAAAATAGAAAACGGTTGTTTTGAACTGTAATATTTTACAATGTTACAGTATTTACTGTATTTTAATGCAGCTTTGTTGAGCACAGGTCTTCTTTCAAAACATATTTCGAAAGCTCTTAAATATAGTCTGTATTGCTCACTTAGTCTTTTCATTCATACATAATTTATTATTATTATTTTTTTTGTATTATTATATTATTATTTTCAGAATCACCTGAATAAAATGGCAACATCCACTCAAATTTCTGAGTTTAATATTTTCCAATATATTAAGGCATATAGATGGGGTTATAAAAATGTATTGCAAAATGTATCGCATTGTTGGAATGACCCTGGCCATAAGCACCAGAGTTTGTTGTGGGTTTAAGGTTTTTTTAGTGTTGCTAGGTCACAGCTCCGCTCTATTAAAGATGTTTTTGTCACACCAGGATACCTTGAGGTGACAGATTTGTGGCCCCTCAGAATGATGGGCAGTAAATGTGGATTTAAGGCTTCTCTCCTTTAGTCCTTCATTGATGTCTCGGAGGAACATTTTAACAAACCTTAAATACATTCTGTTTTATGTTTTTATTTCAGAATATTAAGGTCATTTGTTTTTAGTTATTGTTTGTTGATTTCTATGGCCTTATTACCCTCTAACAATGCATTAATCTCTTTAGACATAGATACTCCCACTCTCAGTTCTTACTTGCTTTCAAAGCACACAGTACAAAGAAGCATAATTTGGCTTAAGCGCTGCAGTTTATTGCACTGCAATGGTATTAATTTCCTCACGCAGAGACAGCACTACACCCTCATTTTCTGTCTTTTCGATTGAGTTTTTCAGTTCAGGCTGTTTCAGAAACCAAAACCAGGAAGATCGTGACCCCTCTCTCTGTTCTTCTCTACTCTTGCTCTTAGACAAATAATCCAGCTTCCTTTACTGTCCTATAAAACACAGCCAGAACAAAGAGATGGATGTGTGAACGGCCAATCTAGTGAGTCGGGCCTGCAGAGAGCACATTTACGAGGGGCTCAGAGGGTTGTCAGCACAGCCCAATCCATCTAAACAGAGCCAGCATGTGCTCCACAGCCCAAGGGAGACAGCACACGCAAGCTGCCCTCCATGTAAGAACAGTGCCCTCTGCTTGGCTCTCAACCTCATCAGAGCTGTAAAATGTTTGTGTTGAGACCTGATGGTTCTGCCATTTTAACGGGCTGATTCACCCGACCTGGCAATCGTGCCGGGGCAGGACAGGGCAGAGATTTTCATAAAGCCTCATACTGCTGTGCCGGGGAGTGCAAAATTAACTTTTTGGCACACCTGGCAATGACGAGTGAATTGAAAAAAAAAAAGAAAGAAAAAAAGTACCAATTTTCTAGTGAATTATTCTTTTTTTTTTTTTGGTTGGTTGGTTAATATATATATATTTATTTATTTATTTATTTATAGGTAATTAAAAAAGTGACAGTTAAGACATTTATAATCTAACAAAGATTTCAATTTTAAATAAATGCCGTTTATTTGAACCTTCTATACATCAAAGAACTCTAAAAATAAATAAATGTATAAATAAATAAAGCATCACAGGTTCCACAAAAATATTAGGCAACTGTTTTCAACATTCATAATAATACTTTTTAGTTAGTTAGTTAGTTAGCTAGTTAGTTAGTTAGTTTTTGAGCATTTCAGCATATTAGAAGGATTTTTGAAGGATCATGTGACACTGAAGACTGGAATAATGATGTTGAAAATTCAGCTTTGCATCACAGAAATAAATTACATTTTCAAACAGAAAACAGCTATTTTAACGTGTAATAATATTTCACAATATTACTGTTTTTATTGTATGTTTGATCACATAAAAGCAGCCATGGTGAGCAAAAGAGACATTAAAACATTTAAAAAAAAAAAAAAAGAAAATCTTACTGCCCCCAGACTTTTGAACAGTAGCGTATGTTGCAGTATCAAGTAGAATCACAAAAAATATTATATTTTTAAGTTTTTTTATATGGCATTAGAAAACATGCAAATGGTTTGTATATGTATCTTTAGAATCGCTCACATTACATCAGCAAGGGTCAGATATCATTCTTACAATTCGATTTAAACCATGAAATGTTGCAGTTCCTCGTAATGTTACCGGTCAACAGCCGAAGCCAATTCTGACTTGCGTTTGGCACTTGGCAAGTGTTA